GAGGGTGATGGGGACACTGGGGACACTGGTGACAGTGGTGAAGGGGATACTGGGGACATCGGGGACAGGGACACTGGGGACACTGGTGATGGTGGTGATGGGGACACTGGGGACATTGGGGACACCGGGGACATCAGGGACAGGGACACTGGGGACACTGGTGAAGGTGGTGAAGGGGACACTGGGGACATCGGGGACAAGGACACTGGTGGCACTAGTGAAGGTGGTGATGGGGACACTGGTGGCACTGGTGGCACTGGGGTGACTGGGGACGCTCAGGACAGCAGGGGCAGCGGTGACACTGGGGACGGGGACACTGGTGGCACTGGCAGCAGTGACAGTGGTGGCACAGGGGGCACTGGTGGTGACAGTGACAGTAACACTGGTGGCACTGGTGATGGTGGCAGTGGTGACAATGGGGACAGTGTGGCAGTGGTGGCAGTGGGGACGCTGGTGGCACTGGTGCTTGGTGGTGGTGGCACTGGTGGCAGTGGGGATGGGGACACTGTGGTGGCAGGGGTGACAGTGTGGTGGCAGTGGGGACAGGGACGAGAGCGGTGACAGTGACAGTGGTGGCACTGGTGACAGTGGGGACAGTGGTGGCAGGGGATGGTGGCAGTGCTGGTGACAGTGGGTGGTGGCACTGGTGGCACTGGTGGCAGCAGTAGTGGGGGTGACAGTGGCAGTGGTGGCAGTGGGTGGTGATGGTGGTGACACTGGTGACAGTGGTGGCAGGGGTGACACTGGTGACAGTGGTGATGGGCTGGTGACAGGGACACTGGTGGCAGGGGTGCAAGTGGCCGGTGACAGAGGTGACACTGGTGACACTGGTGACACGTGATGGTGACACTGGTGACACTGGTGACACTGGTGACAGTGACAGAGGTGACACCAGTGACAGAGGTGACAGGGGTGGCAGTGGGTGGTGACAGTGACAGAGGCGATGGTGGCACTGGCGACACTGGTGGCACTGGTGACAGGGAAACTGGTGGCAGGGGGGCCCACGGATGGCGACAGGGGGGACACTGG